GAAATAAGAAAGTCCAGGGGTTTCTTTCCAGTGCTAGGAGTCAGGATTAACAGATAAGCCAGGAAAGCTGTGGTTAGGTGACTGGGTGTGGGGTGGGTGGGGAGGAGAGTTTCTCAGACTTCTCTCTTGGGACTAAGAGTTAATACAAGGCAGAATATAAAGTATGTAATGTGAAGGGCAGTAATGTGAAATAAGGCTGGAAAGGTAGGTTGGAGCCAGTTTCTATCACCGGCCTCAGACTGAGTTTGTATTTTATCCTGGGGACAGTAGAAAGCAATTGAATGTTTCTGAGCAGGGAACTGATCAGTATTGCTTAGGAAAATTATTTCAGCAGCTTTGTGGAGGATGCATTGGAGAGGGCAAAGGCTAGAAGCAGGGGAAGTGGTCAAGGGAAGGAATGAGGAGGACTTGAACTAAGGTGGCAGCCCTGTGAATGAAGAGAGAAAATGGGAGAAGTGTAATGGAAGACTTGACAAGATTTGACAGTTGATTGACTGCAGGGAGTGAGGGAGAAAGGTTGCAAAACTTGTGAATTAAAAAGATGCTGTCCAGAGAGAGAACTATGGAGTTTGTCTCTTCTATTTTTTTTTTTTAGGCCATTAGGGTTAAGTGACTTGCCCAGGGTCACACAGCTAGTAAGTGTCAAGTGTTTGGTCTGAGGCTGGATTTGAACACAAGTCCTCCTGACTTCATGGCCCATGCTCTATCCACTGTGCCACCTAGCTGCCCCTGAACCATATATCAAAATAGACTCAAAATGGGTTCATGATTTAGATATAAAGGCTGATATTGTAAGCAAACTGGGAGAGCAAGGAATAGTTTACCTATTAGATTTATGGAGAACAGAAGAATTCATGACCAAACAGGAGATAGAGAATATTAAGAAAATGGATAACTTTGATTACATTAAATTGAAAAGTTTTTACACAAACAAAGCCAATGCAACCAAGATTAGAAGGAAAGTAGAAAATTGGGAAAGAGTTTTTACAACCAGTCTCTCTGATAAGGGCCTCATTTCTAAAATATATAGAGAGTTAAGTCAAATTTCTAAGATTACATGTCATTTCCTAATTGATAAATACTCAAAGTGTTGGGGTATGGGCCCAAGCTGAGACCTTTGCCCCTTGCCCCAAAAATAACTTGGCTCCCATTTGTCTGAGGGTCCCAGAAAGCCCTTAAACTTTTCTTACTCTGGTCTCAAAAGGTTCCTTAACGACTCTCCTTATCTCCCTTTGAAAGCCCTAGCCCTACCTTTTGACTATTCAGATGCCTTTCAGACTTCTTCCAGTTCCCTTCATTATCTATTCAATCTCTCAGACTTTCCAATTGGAATTCTCCCTAAGTCACCTAGGCCCTTTTCCCAGCCCCCTCCTCTGGCCACCCAAAGTTACTTTAGTGTATGTAAGATCCACCCTGGCCCCATTTAAATGCTGAGACTTTCTCATGCCCGCTTATCCTTACGGGCATCACCTGGCCTATATGGTTTATCTCTGGCTGAAAGAAGATTTGGGTTGAATTCATTTAGGCAGGGCCTGCATCGCAATCTCAGGTTCCCAGCACCCCTAAACCTCTAGACTTCATCAAAAGGATATGAACAGGCAGTTCTCAGATGAAGAAATTAAAGCCATCTATAGTCATATGAAAAAATACTCTGAATCACTATTGATTAGAGAAAGGCAAATCAAAACAACTCTGAGGTACCACATCACACCTATCAGATTGGCCAACATGACAAAACAGGAAAATGATAAATGTTGGAGAAGATGTGGGGAAATTGGAACACTAATGCATTGTTGGTGGAGTTGTGAAATGATCCAACCATTTTGGAGAGCAATTTGGAACTATACCCAAACAGTTATAAAAATGTGCATACCCTTTGACCCAACAATAGCACTTCTACGGCTATATCCCAGAGAGATCATACAAATGGGAAAAGGGACCCACATGTAAAAAATATTTATAGCAGCTCTTTTTGTGGTGGCAAAGAATTGGAAGTTGAGAGGATGCCCATCAATTGGGGAATGGCTGAACAAGTTGTGGTATATGAATGTAATGGAATACTATTGTGCTATAAAAAATGATGAACAGGCTGACTTCAGAAAAACCTGGAAAGACTTGTATGGTCTGATGCTGAGTGAAGTGAGCAGAACCAGGAGAACGTTGTACACAGTGAGAGCCACGTTGTACAAAGACTAATATTGATAAACTTAACCCTTCTCAGCAATACAAGGATGTAAGTCATCTCCAAAGGCCTTGTGATGGAAAATGCTATCCACGAAGAAACAACTATGGAGTTTGAATGCAGATTGAAGCATACTATTTGCTTTTTTTTTCTTCTGTTGTGTTTTGTTTCCTCTTTCTGGTGGTTCCTCCTATTGGTTCTAATTCTTACTTACAACATCACTAATGTGAAAATATGTTTAATAGGAATGTATATGTATTGCAGTCTTGGGGAGGGAGGGGGAGAAAAATTTAAAACTCAAAAGCTTATGGAAGTGATTGTCGAAAACTAAAAATTAATTACTTAATTAAAAAAATTTTTTTAAAAAAGGATGTTGGTACCTTCAACAGAAATAGGAAAATTTGGAGGAGGGGCAGGTTTATGTAGAAAGTTACTGAGTTCGTTTTTTGGACATACTGTGTTTAAGGTTTTAGGGTTTAAGGTTGTTTCAAGAATTTTCAGGGTCCTTGTTAAGCCACTTCATGAATTAGCCAGCACAGGTTATAGACAGACAGGTACACTGCAGTTTATCCACCTGGTAGTTGATAGGCATGTGTGTTTCACAATTCCCCAGATGACATATATGACCCAGACTTTAGGTAAAATCAGGTCATGTGTTTTGGTCATGTGTGATTTGTCCTTCATTCTTGAAGAGGACCATGATATCAGGAAGGTGATGCCATGACTTGCAAGTGAATTGGATTTGATCCGGGAGGGAGGCCTGTGCAAAGCCACCAGCCTCACATTCTCCTCCAGAGCCATCTGGGTGCTGTGGCCAAATATAGATCAGGACAACTGAAGATGGCCCAGGGGTCTTTCAGAATTCTAAATTTGACTGAGGCAATGCTCATTCAATTATTAAATTAGGCCTGTTTAAAAAGTGAGTCAAGGGATGGCCCTTTTAACTGGGGAGAAAAAAAAAGGTCAAACTGAGAGGGGAAAGCCCTCAGGGTTGCTGGGTGAAAGAGAAACAATTACTATTTATGTTCAGCCATCAGGGCCCAAAAAACAACCATTAAGTGGTACTTGACCAGGGACTTATTGTAGACCAATCAGTAAGGGCCACAGTGAATTGGGTTTAAGGCCTGGTCTTTATGAATGAAATCTAGTCAGTAAACCCCAGGATAATAAGGTAGGTTTCAGCCATCAAAATTTACCTTCCTTTGGGCAGAGCACCCTCAGGTAAGGGCATGATATGCCATGTGGGGAGAGGAGAAGGGTAGTGAGAAGGGAGGGGAGGGGAAAGGGGAGGAAAGGAGCTGAGTTGCCTGGCCCAGTTGGGTCCCCATTGGGGCAGCTCAGACTACTCACAGGTTGTGGTTTGTACTTCATTCTTAGAGGACCATGACATCAGGAAGACGATACCATGACTTGCAAATGAATTGGATTTGAGTGAGGGAGAGCTGTGCAAAGTCACCAGCCTCACTTTCTCCTCCAGAGTCATCTAGGTGCAGTGGCAAGATATCTGTGGTCAAGTAGGCAACCTTACTAAGCAGTTTTAGGTAAGATCAGGCTGGGTACATAAACAGGAAAAGGTATATTTTTAGGAAAAGAAAAAGGATGGGTTTTTGGTGGGGGGGAAAGGTCTTTAGCATAGCTATTCACATCAAACTGAAGAAAACAATGTCTTCTTTCACTTAATTAACATTTGTTAACCTCCTACTTGTGCCTTTATTAGATAGGATAAAGAGAACTGGGTGAGTTCCTGAAACTATTCAAAGTCCTCTGAGTTTTCTTTTGGAACCATGAAGTGATTAGGGGAAGGGAAGAACCTGGAGACATTCAGTACTTTCTGTGTCACTAAGAAAAAGAAATATAACAGCAAATATAATACAAAATGGAGTAGGTTATGTTCTCCCCAAAATCCAGTTTCGACCAGGTATCTGAGATGTTCAGCCAGAGATAGTATGTGGATGTTGGAATTAGAGTTCATGAGAGTGATTGTTGTTGTTCAGTTGTCTCAGTGATGTCTGACTCTTTGTGACTCCATTTGAGATTTTCTTGGCAAAGATACTGGAGTGGTTTCCCATGGCCTTCTCCAGCTCATTTTACAGATGAGGCAAACTGTGAAGTGACTTGCCCAGGGTCACATAGCTAGTAAGTGTCTGAGGCTGGATTTGAATTCCGGAGTATGGGTCTTCCTGGGCCCAGATCCACTGCTCTATCCACTGCACCACCTAGTTGCCCATGAGCGTGATTAGAGCAGGGCATATAGATTTGCCTGTCATCTACATAAAGATAATAACTGAACACAAAGGAACTAATGCAATCAGCAAGGGGAAAAAACAGTACAGAGAGAAGAGAAAGCCCAGGACAGAAACTTGGGGATAAGAAATGGATGAAGATTGAGCAAATGACACTGAGATGAAACAATCAGGTAGAGGGATAACCAGCATCACAGAAACCAACAGTATGTTGGATAGGGGGTTCATAGACCATATCACAACTTTCAGAAATAGTCAAGGAGGATAAAGACTGAGATGAAGACATTAGAACCTCCTCCTTTTTCTCCTTTTCTTATCCTTCCCTTTCTTTTCTCTCCTTTGTAGCTTGAGATCTTGGCACTAGATTCAACCCATAATACTAAACAAAAGAACGACTTTACAGCAATTTACAATCAATTACAGTCAATCAATAAACATTAAGTACCTATACTTTATAAAACAGATTAAAGAACTCCATTCTAAGTACTGAGAATATTTTACTACCACCACCCCACCTAACTTTTTTTGTTATCGTTAAATGTGGTTTGAACTGAAAAACAAGTGCTTTCCTACAGGATCAAAAAGAAAACTTCAAATGAAAATCTTACCAAAGTTGAAGGAGAATGTTGAGGCAACACAGTTACATGAGAGCCCTACTACAAAAACCGGGTGTGTGTCAACTTATAAAATTGTATCTATTACCATGACTATTGTCTAATTTCTGTAGAAGTGTTTCTTTTGGGCAGTGTACTTTTCAGATGAACATTTAGCTGGTTCTGTGGCTTTTGACAAAATTTTAACAGTGATAGAGGTATAACTTGTTATTTTTAAATTCTTATTTAAAGGATAGTTAAGGATATCTGGTAAAGGAAAACATTTAAACACACAACAACAATTCTTCATCAATCTCAATTAAGCAAATATATTTTTCTAGTCATCTACTTTGCTTTAGGTTTTAAGATACAGAAATAGCTACCACATAGTTCTCAAGGAGCCTATAAGGCATGGAACTAGAGTGAAACTGCAAAAAAAAAAAAAAATAGAAGATGGGACTAAAGAATATGGGGGAGGGAGGAGAAAGCAAGAGAGCCCTTTCACTTGGGAGGAGGATGGGCTAGTTGAGATAGGTGGAAAAGGTGGCATCTGATTTGCACCTTGAAGGAAGAGAAAGACTCAACAAATAGAAGGAAGGAGACTCCATTCCAAGCTTGGGTGATAGAATGAGCAGAGAGGGGCAGGATGAAAATAGAAGATTAAGAATCATCCAGTTTCTGTAGAGCATAGGGCACATTACAAGACATAATTTGAAAATGTTGGACAGGTGATGTTTTGATATGTTTTCTTTCTAAAAACTGTAATTACAATCTGATTTTATCAAGTAATGAATTTTTCAAGACATATTTTGATTTTTAATTAAAAGTAAATGATGAATCATTTCTGTTGAATAGGTCTGATATTGTTTGTATATTTATAGAACTTGTCCTGGTTTGACTCCTACCTTTTATAAGGCTGTTTTTGTTTTAGCTGTTGTAATATAATAGGAAAAATAGGATTCCCCAAATAAGAAAACCTGCTAACTTATAGATTTTAATATTTGTTTATAAATTAAAAAAAAATATTTGTTTGTTAGTATGCAGTTGAATGTTGCACACCAAAAGAAACTACAAAAAAGTCACATTAATGAGGACTCCAAGAACACGAACACTCTTGCACTGAAGGTATGTATCCTTATCTTCATTTCATGGAACATTAAAGCTAAAAGGGTCCCTAGAGACTCTCTAGTCCTGGGTGGAGAACTTGCGACCTCAAGGCCACAGAATAAAAGTTTGGATTCAGTCAAAGGGCCATATTTGAGGGCCCAGAGGGCCACATGGGGCCTCGAGGGCCCATGTTCTCCATCCAAATCTAGTCCAACCTCCTCCTTTTATAGTGGAGGAAACTGAGGCCCATGAATGGGGAAGTGACTTGCCCAAGGTCATACAGTGACATGGTTGGTATTTAAACTCAGGTTTCCAGCCTTAGTACAGTGGCATTTTCACTGTAACCCAATCTTATTGTCTTCTGATATTCCCAGGTAGATACAGCCAGTAACTTTAACAAAGCTGGAATAGGAAATAAAATTATGCTTGCAATAGTAACTGATTCTCTTCTATTAGCTTGTTTGGTGTTGGTATTACTAAGAATAGATTAATATGAAGAATAAACCATAGGAAGGCACATATAAATAGATGCAAAATTAAGTAAAAAATGTACCCAGTGACTACAACAATATTAAATGGAAAGAACAATAACAACAAAAATTGAAACTAAATGCTGTGCAATTACTAGGCCTGTACTTAGGTCCCAAAGAAGACTTTTGAGAGTTCTCCTTCCTCCCGTCTTTCCTGGGAGAAAGAGGAAAGTGGACTCTCAGTGTGGAGCAGTGTGTGTGTGTGTGTGTGTGTGTGTGTGCTGTGCTGTTGGTTTAGTGTGACTACTATTTTTCTTCATTTTTCCTTCATGTTTCATTTTGTCCCTCTCAAAGTGGGAGCAAGGGGCAATACAGAGGGAAATGAAGTTGGGTAAAAATGAACCAACCTTTTTATAGAAGTAATTTTTTACGGAAGTAAAAAGGAATATTAGGAATAATTTTGTATAGGAATAGTAACCCCAAAACTTTACAAACCAGTTCAAGTCATTACTTTTTTATTATTTGTGCTAAAAGACATTGGAGTAATCCTGTTCTGAGACTTAATACTTTATGCAGAATTTTTTTTTATAGGACTCATGATTTCGTTGGTATAATGAATTCCCTATGAGGAAATTCCTACCACAATGTAGATTAGCATCTACTAATGCAGCTTGGGGTCAGATGGGTGGCATGGTGTGCTGAGCTTAAGTCAAGAAGACCCGATTTCAAATCCAGCCTCAAATACTTCCTAGCTGTGTGAGCCTGGCAAGTCATTTAACCTCTGTCTGCCTCAATTTCCTCATCTGTAAATTGGGGCTAATAATAATAGCCCCTTCTCAGGGTTGTTGTTAGGATCAAATGAGACAATATCTGTAAAGTTCCCGGCATGTATTAGAGCTTAATAAATGCTTATTCCCTTCCCCTTCCCTCATTGACAAGGAGAAGTTAAGGGCTGTGTCTGGAGTCAATCAGCCAGTATGTTTCAGGATTGGATTTGAACTAAGATCTTTCTGACTCCAAGGTCAAAATCATATCTACTATACTACTGTATACTGTATATATTTTGGAATATACATTATTTCTTAAAGCATTTGATACATTTCATTTGATTCTTAATGTGGTATTGCATAAATTAAAAAATTCATATCTAAATTCTGTTCAAATGAATTTTAGTGAAAGCTTATTATGTCTATTTTAGTAAGAAGTGTGTAGTACTATAGTTTAAAATTACATTAATCACAGAACCTCAGAATTTTACAGTTGGAAGAGACCTTAGAGGCCATATAGTCTGACCCATTCCACAACTTTCCCTTATTTTTTTTATAATGTACCCTGCAAATGATCATCCAGACTGCTTAAAGACCTCCAATGAAAAGAAACTCACTGTTTTTTAAGTCAGTCCATTCCATTTTGGAAAGCTCTAAATATATATATTTTTTTATTTACTTATGTCAAGCCTACATGTGCCTCTTTTCAACTTCCTTTCTTTGCTCCTGGTTCTGCTCTCTGGAGCCAAACAGTACAAGTGACAATCCTTTAGACGCTTAAAGACAGCTATCATATCTCCCCTAGAAAGAGATCATATCTCCCCTAGAAAGAGATCATATCTCCCCTAGAGAGTCTTCTCTTTTCCCTATTCCCACTTCCTTTGACTGATCCTCATATGACATGGACTTCACCATCCTGTATGTCCTCCTCTACACAGTTTCCAATTTATCAATAGCCTTCTTAAATTGTGACACCAGATGTAGTCTTTGTCTGGAAACTATGCCTTTCTTAACATACATAGTTAGCATTTTAGACTGCTACGTCATATCACTGACTCATTTTAAGTTTCCAGTTCATTAAAACCTCTAGGTCTTTTCCAGACAAACTGCTTTCTAATCATGCTCTCAACATTTTGTAATTGTGATGATGATATTTTGAATCCAAGTGTAAGATTTCACAATGTTTTCTTATTGGATTTCTTCTTAATAAATTCATCCTAGTGCTTTACCATGTCAAGGTTTTTTTTTTGAGACTTAAAGAAAGCTAGGAAAGACAGTAGGTAAAGCAGAGGAAGAAACCATCCCTACTAGCAAGGAACTTACATTCTAAGAAGGGCAACAAGAATGTAAATGTGTGTGTGGACATATACACATGTGTATGTATGTATATATTTGTACAGAATAGCTATAAAGTGAACAAATACAAATTAGCTAAATACAAGGTATTTTGAGAGGGAGGGCACTGACAATCGGAAGGATCAGGCTTCCTGTGAAGTGTGGTGCTTGAGCTCCATCTTGGGAGAAGAGAGAGATTTTGAGTCAGGTGTGAGCAAAGAATGCATTCCAGACATGGGGACGGCCAGTACAGTTAATAAGATGGGAGAAAGAAGTTTATGTGCGAGGAACAAAGAGCAGGCCAATTTGGAATAAAGTCCAATGAGACTGAAATGATAGATTGGGATAAAATTATCGCTATCTAAGCAACCTTTTCCCACAGGTTTTTTTTTTTTAAAGAACAATATGAAATATTTTGCTAAAAATCTGGGCAAACTATCACATTCCTCTGATCAACCAGTTTTAAAACCTTGTTACAAAAGGAATTAAGGTTCGTCTAATGTGACTTGACTTTGATGGAACTTTGCAATACCTATCTTCTTTGCTGGATGTTCATTAACCACCTCTTTAATAATCTGTGAAGTCTAGCTCACCAGCCTATAATTTGTTTTTGTTGTTGTTCTTCAGTTGTTCAGTTGTGTCTGACCCTTCATGACCTCATGGACCATAGTACTCCAGGCCCTTCTGTCCTCCATTATCTCCTGAAGTTTGTGACAGCTCATGTTTGTTACTTCCATGCCACTATCCATCTCATCCTCTGCTGTTCCCTTCTCCTTTTGCCTTTAATCTTTCCCAACACTAGGGTCTTTTCCAGTGAGTCCCGTCTTCTCATTATGTGGCCAAAGCATTCAAGCTCCAGCTTCAGTATTTGTCCTTCCAGTAAATAGTCTGAATTAATTTCTTTAAGTATTGACTAATTTGATCTCCTTGCTGTCCAAGGGACTCTCAAAAGTCTTTTCCAGCACCATAATTCAAAAGCATCAATTCTGCAGCGCTCAGCTTTCCTTATAGTCCAACTCTCATAGCTGTACATCACTACTGGAAAAAACATAACTTTGACTCTATGGACCTTTGTCATCAAGGTATTGTCTGCTTTTTAGTATGCTGTCCAGATTTTCCATACCTTCCCTTCCAAACATCTTTTAATTTTGTGGCTGCAGTCACTGTCGACAGTAATCTTTTAACCTAAAAATATGAAATCTGACACTGCTTTCTTTACTTTTCCCTCTGTTTGCCAGGACGTGATGGGACTAGTTGCCAAGATCTTATTATTTTTATATTAAGCTTCAAGCCAGCTTGTACACTCTCCTCTCTCACCCTCATCAAGAGGCTTCTTCACGTTCAGCCTGTAGTGAACAAACTGTTTTCTTTCTTCTTTTGAAAATCAGGACATTGCCCTTCTTCAGTTTTGAAGCACCTCTCCCATTTTCCAGATCCTTTTGAATATCACTTACAGTATCTTTGCTACCCAAGGATATAACTCTTTCGGGCCAGTTGTACCTTGAATTCATCAAGACCAATTAGGTGCTCTTGTTGATCTCCATTTGTCCTGATTTTCTACTCCCTGTTAGCTATTTTTGTTCTGTCCTTAATATGCAAAGGTCATTCTTCTTGGCAGAGAAAACAGTAAGAATTGTTCAGCTCTGCCTTCTCTCTGCTATCAGTGATCATCTCAACCCCTTCTCTCACACCCTTCCCCCTGGCACCCATGTAGTCCCATCAGTATCTTCAAACAATTACTTTTTTCTCCTCATGGGAATTATTTCTGGGTGTCTCAGATGTTTTTCTTTATTGTAGCTACTGTCTATGGCATATACTTTGATAGATTTACATAGGCAGTTTTTTTCCCTCATTCTTTTTAGTTTAAAGCACATTTGATTAAAGGCATTAAAGTAATTTAAGGAAAGTTAACTTAATACACAGCAGCCAACATATGTAGAACTTTGAAGTTTAAAAACATTTTCTATACATTATTTCATCTAATCCTTATAACAGCCTTATGATTCAGGTGCTAATATTATCCCTCTTTTACAGATGAGGAAACTGAGGCCCAGAGAGGCTAACTTAGTTGTCCAGGGTCACACAGCTAATAAGTGTCTGAGGTCTTCCTGATTGCAAGTCCAGTACTATCCATTAAGCCACAATACCTTCCATGACAGTTTACATGTACCTTAGCTGTTATTAGACATTATGTTGGAAAATCCTACTATTTATAGGCTTTAGTGGTTAATTGGGGAAAATTAACCAGCTCTCTTTTCAATATGAGTTACAGCTAATTCTGCATTTGAGAGGCATGGTGACATAGTGGCATAGTGAATAGAGTGTGGAACTATGAGTGAGGAAGACCTTTATTCAAATTCCAACTTAGATATTTAGTGGTTGAGTAACTTTAAGCAAGTCACACTTAGCTTCTCTTAGTCTTCATGTGTAATCCTCATAAGGATATAATGATGGCCCTTACCTCACAAAGTTGTCATGAAGTTCTTAAGAGAAAATGTATGTAAAAAACTTCACAAACATTAAAACCTTAATATGAGTTATTTATGCTCACAAGAAGTTGATTCTAACATGCTATGTTGAATAAAGTTACTTTTGTTGCCTTTCATTCTCAAAAGAAACATTGAATAATTTTAACTGACAATATCATTTTTAGCTTTAATTCTTATTCCGTGTAGGAATCAATGACTGATGATGATCTCCAAGGTGAAAGTAGTCCAAATAACACTCAAATAAGTTCAGGTAAGTTTGATTCTATGCATGTATGTGTTTTTTTTTTTTTGTACTTTGCTGTCATTTCTCAATACTATCCCTTCTTCCTGTCCTCCCAAATGGAACCCTTTCTTATAACAAAGAATAGTTAATTAGAACAAACTAATACATTGACCATACAAGGCATCTGAAAAGTCTTAGTGGAGTTTTAAGATTAAAACTGCACTGACTTTTGGAACACATATGTGACAGCTTATATTTCATTCCATACATGCTGACCACTACTTCTCTACCAGAGATACTTTTCATTAACAGTCTTTTGGAGTCAAATTTGGCCCTTGAATCAGTCTGAGATCTTTACATCATCATGGTCGTTGTACACTATTGTTATTTTCTTCTACTTGTTTTGCATCACTTTATATAAGTCTTCTCAAGTTTCTGTGAATTTTTCACATCCTATTTCTCCTCTGTCTCTAAATCTATTCTCACTTGTAAACATCTGTATGCATGGAATAGGCTAGATTATATACTCTCAAAGAACATTATCTTTGGCTTTTGCCTTGAGGGGAAAAGGAAGAACTAATGGAAATGTTATCCCATGGTGTGCCAGTACCCTTAGCCTGTGTTCAGTGCATGCCTGTCCTTGTAAATATGGCTACCTATAACATATTCTTAGGTCTTTGAGTCTGTGTGTATTTCCTTTTGCATGATACATTTTATTTGCTTTGCAGGTATAACTTCATCAAGTGAGATTTCTTTCTCTCTTTTGAAATCTGATGATATGAATTTTTACGTAGAAACCACCAGCTCTGAAGATAGTTTAAGTAGTTTTCCATCACCTGAAGTATTCAGGGGAGGAGAGTTTTTTGGTGAGAAAAAAATTTTTTTGCCTATTTTTCTGTGTCTGTCTGACTGTCTCTCTCTCTCTCTCTCTCTCTCTCTCTCTCTCTCTCTCTCTCTCTCTCTCTCTCTCTCTCTCTCCCTCTCTCTCTCTCTCCCTCTCCTTCTCTCCCTCTCTCTTCTTCTCTCCCTGTGTCTCTCTCTCCTTTTGTAGGGTTGGGAATGTTTCTTTCTTCTTTACCTTCTGCATTTGGCCATATCATTGCCATGGTGTGGTGGCCATACAGGGATGTGGGCTATCTAGACCTAAAAGAGGCAAGAGAGAGTTGGAGGTCTCTTGGCTGTAGAGAAGTTCCCATTCTCTCAACTGAAAATTTGCTACAGGAAACACTACTAAAGAGAAAAGATTATTTTGAAGTGAATACCAATCAATGAAAGCTTAGGCCATGCTTTTTTATGTAATGTTATTTATTGTTCATTAAGTTTAAAGAACTTAACACTTGACTTAGGGCCACTTAATACTAAAAGAATATTGTTGTTCAGTCATTTCAGTTACATCTGGCTCTTTGTGATCCCATTTGGGGTTGTGTTGGCAAAGATACTAGAGTGGTTTGCCATTTCATTTTACAGATGAAGAACTGAGGCAAACAGATTTAAGTGACTTGCTCAGGTTCACACAGCTAATAAGTGTCTAAGGCTGGATTTGAATTCGTGAAGATGAGTCTTCTTGATTCCACGCCCAGTGCTCTATCCACTCATGCCATCTAAAAGAGTGTTCTTGCTTTTCCAGAGTGTCAGGTAGAAACAATAGACCCACTTCAGCATAGGACCTCTTTCATCTTATCTCCATCTTTTCAGTTCAACAAACCTGTATTAAGCATGTACTATGTAGAAGGCTCTGTGTTAGACCAGTGGATCCAGAGAAAAATGGAAACAATCCTTTCCCTAAAAGATCTCAGATCCTTCTAGGAGAATATAGTGAGAATATACAGAGAAGTAAATATAAGGTAATTTGTAAAGGGAGAGGGCATTTACAACTGGAGTCTCTGAGAAGGCTTCACCAAGAAGACAACACCAAAATTTATGCTAGGAGGAAGATAAGGTTTCTATGAGTCAGAAATGAGGAACTAAGCATGGGAGACTGTTTATACAAAGGCATCAAGATGATAGAGGGAATGCCAGATTCATAGTGCACCAAGGGAAATGATGTGAGATAAGTTTAGTATTATACTCAGATTGTGGAGAGTGTTAAATGTCATGCTAATGAGTTAATCTTTTATAACAGAGGCAACAAGGAGTTATTGAAGGCTTTTGGACATGGGTATGACATAATCAGACCTATGCCTTATGATTATTTTGGCCTTTGTGTAGAGGATAGATTGGGGAGGGTAGAGATTGAAGGCAGGGCAACCAATTAGAAATATAATAATAATGATGAGAGGTAATGAGGGCCTCTACTAGGGAAGTGACTGTGAGAAGGATGGAAATAAGGCATATCGTGAATGTAGATTCAATAAAACACAGCAACTGCTTGGATATGGGGGCATGTCAGGGATAACATACTGAAGTTTAAATATGGGTGACTGAGAAGATGGCAGGTCCCAAAACAGAAAAGGAGAATTTGGAGAGGCAGTTTCAGGAGGAAACACAGACACCCCCCCCCCCAATATGAGTCCCCTGCACATGATCCTAGGATTAGACTCTCACTGGAAAGTCCTCCATTACATATATAACACAATTATCTCCATTTTATAAGCCAGGGCCATCATCATCTCATACTATTCCAGCTTCAAATCTATGATCCTAGAATCCCCAACACATTGATTCTGGAAAAGGAGTCATAATACTCTGCTCCCCTTGCCACTTCCAGAATCCAAAGTGAATGTCTCCTTTGAAGTTCACTCTCTCCAAATCCATCACCCTGTCCACATCATGGTGCCCATCCCCCTTTTTTCTCAAAGATTTCAGTACTTGGCTCATTTATGTAAACTATTTATCTCATGGTAAACCTGAAGTTAAAATGATTTGAGAACAACTTGTTGGACCTAAGAAAAATTGGGATTTTTTCCTTCAGTGAGATCAGAGTATATAAACCAATTAGGGTAATATGGCTTGCAACTCCCCTTCTACACACACACACACACACACACACACACACAGCCTTTTCAATTGCATTTGTAAGGGACACTCTAACACACAAACATCTTGCTCTAGGATAGAATCTTGGTAGTTTCAAGAGAGGGTAGGAAATGAGAATATCAAAGAATAGGGGAAAGAATTTATATCATCAGTTTAGAATTCTCTGCAGCTTTTTTTCCTATTTTTTTCTCTGTTTAGATATCAATGATTCCACTACTGAAGACTATCTCAAATTCAAGAATTCTACTTTTCTGGATACCAGCAGAGCCGTGGCTATAGAGAATATACAACAATTTTCAAATCTTTCAGCAATTTTAGGTAACTTTTATGTAAAATGACATAAGTATTGCAGTGGAATGAAGATACCAAGTAGTTACATCCAGGCAACAATTTATTTAGCAATACCTGTGGTTGCAAAAACAAATTGGATCCTAGGCTCTTGGTAGCTAAAGACATTGGCCATTGGTTTTTACCCAGTTAATGTACAATTTGGAGGGAGGGAAAAACAGGCTGTAGGGGTTGAGATAACTGGTTTCTTATTGATTGAGAGGATTGGGAGACATTGAGCTGAGGGAGAGGGGTAAATTTGTGACATTCCTTAAGTTAGATAACCATTGAGAAGGGGAGTGGCTTCTCCAGAATCAAGTGACTTACAAGTAGCTGAAACTTAGCTTCACAAAATGGTGGATAGAGGCAAAATGGAGTCACTAATGCTATTTTTAATGTAATATTTCCCCTTTTAATCCTAGGGTTCTTAACCCCCAGGATAACTTGTTTAAATTATTTTATCTGTTAGGGATTTCTGGACAGAATAGTAGTCTACCTTTAGGGGCATCAAAGGGATGGGGTGAGAGGCACAAAGAGTACAAGCAGAATTATAATCTCATATATCTCCTAAGGAGACAAAATTTGTTAAATAGACTTTATAGGTAAATTGAATCAAGCTACAGATCAAATTAGTTAGAGGGCTCACCAGGTACTGATTTGAGAGGAGAGATTTACATGTCACCAAGGTAACCAAGAAAACTCAGTAAACGTAAACATCAAGAAACAAAAAGGCAAAGCAGTACAGTAACATCATCTCCTTATAATCTAGTAACCCACCCCCAATGTTCATTTAATTAGCACATTTCATCTTGTGTCCCAAATGTCCCAGGTAGTTGTCTGGTCCCAGGAAACATCTTTCCTTGGGCATTCTGGATTAAATCTCATTCTCAAGGTAGCTCTGAAGGAGACTCCTCCTAGTAAATCTACTTCTCTGGTTCCAAGTCACTTGAATTTCTGCTAAAATCTGCTAGTAAGAAGACTCGATGCAATTCAGTACAACTTCCTAAAGTTGGTTTTCCAATAACTATGTCATGTGGTTAAAAACCAGCTCAAACCTTGTAGTTCTGATTCTATATCAACAGTAGAACTATAAGAAGAACATCAAATTATGAACCCATTATTCACCTGAAATTTCAGAGAATTTCAGTTTTTACATACCCCTTGCTGTTACCTAAACTTATCTAATACCTAAACCCAGTACCTGATATGATCACTGCCATCAACAAGCTGAAGAAAGAATCTTAAAAAAAAAAAAAAAATCCACGAGGGAATGACTTGGAAAATGGGCCCTTCTGTCTCTTGAAATTATCAGATAAAGACATCAAAATGGGAAAATGGTGACTTAAAATTTCTTTACAATTTTTTCACTTTTTTTCTTTATTTTAGACAAACACTAAAACTTGAAATACATAATAAGAAAAAGAAACATATCATAAATTTAAATGTTAAACTTAGTTATAAAATAAGAAAAGAAAAAAACCATGTTATGTGCACAGCAGAACGTAAGAGAGGATTCAGAATATATAGCAATAACTTTCCATTTCAAGAAAGTCTGTATGTTAAATATCACCCATTATGTTGAAAGCTGTCCATCTTTTCTTTATTTCCTTGTAGGTTTTCTCTTGTTCTCTACTGTACACTTTTTACTTTGTTTTTTTTTCCTCCTTCCTCTCCCCCACCCCCAGGATAATTTGAGAACAACTTATTGGACCTAAGAAAAATTGGGATTTATTTATATATATTTATATATAGATATTTACTTATATATTTATATGTAGATAATGATATATACATACATAGATACATGTACATACATACATATATAAACATATACTTTCCCTAAGACATTCTATTACTAATCTTTGTTTTTATATTTGTGCATGTCTTTTTTCCTATCTCTCATAACTCCTCTACTCTACTTCTATCCCCTAGCTTGCCCTCCTATTATTTGATCTACCCCCTCAGCAATCCCTCTCTTGTCTTTCCATTTCTATAAATCTAAACACCATTTTCTATGCCCCTTTGACCTATTGCTTTTCTTCTGCCCACTACCTTGCCCTCCTATTACTTAACTTGTGCCCCCTACAATAATCCCTCTGTTATCCTCCCTTTTCATAAATCAAAATACCCTTTTGTACACCTCTTTGACCTATTCTCTCGCCTTCCCCTCTAAAGATCCCTCCTTTATCCTCCCAAGAATCCCTCTCTTATACTCCCCTTCCCATTGATCTAAATACCTTTCTATATCCCCCTTTTAACCTATTCCCTTTCCCTCCCCTCTAAAGATCCCTCTTTTATCCTCTCCCTCCTCCCTATCCCCTTAGAGTTTTATTTCTTTCTAAATTTATAAGATTTTTATACTCTTCTAATGTATACATATTTTTTCCCTCTTGAACCCATTCCTAATTGAAAGTAGATTTCCAGAACTAACAGCCCTACTGCCCGTCTAATTCTTCTGTATTGATTCTTCCTCTCACACCTCATTTGTATAAGATAATTACTCTTCTAGCTGTTCTTGAACAGTTTTACTTTTTGGAGTCATATCATACTCAGGTCTACCCCAATGTTTCTTATAGGCTAGCTAATTACTAATAACAATCTTATAATTGTTGTAATTTGTCCTTTCAGTCCATTGTAATTTGTCATTGGTACATACCTTTTATTTCTCTTGGCTCTTGTATGTCAAGTTCTATTAAGTTCAGGTTTGGTTGTTGTTGTTCTTGTTGTTGTTGTTTTTTGATAAAGTCCTGAAAATCTGACAGTTCATTAAATGTCCACTTTTTTTTTCCATTCAGAATTATGCTTAGCTTTGCTGGGTATGATATTTTTGATCGGAGCCTAAGTTCTTTTGCTCTTCAATATATAGTGTTCTAAGACCGGTGATCTTTTAGTGTTGTCACTGCTAGGTCTTGTGTGATTTTAATTGTGGTACAGTCTTATGTAAATTTTTTTTCCTAATTGCTCTTAATATTTTATCATTAAGCTGGAGGTTTTGGAATTTGACTATAATATTCCTATGAGTTTCCTCATAGGATTTCTTTCAGGTGGTGATCAGTGGATTTTTTCTATTTCTACTTTCCCTTCTTGTTCTAATGCTTCAGGACAATTTTCTTTAATTATTTCTTATATTACTGTGTCAAGATTCTTTTTTTGGGCATAGATTTCAGGTAGTTCAGTTATTCTTATGTTTTCTCTTCTTGATCTGTTCTCCAAATCAGTTGTTTTTCTTATGTTTCACATTCTAGTTTTTTTCATTCTTTATATATTTTTTTCTTTTCTTTTTTCTTTTTTTTTTTTGGTGAGGCAGTGGGAGTTAAGTGACGTGCCCAGGGTCACACAGCTAGTTACTAGTTATGTGTCAAGTGTCTGGTCTGAGGCTGAATTTGAACTCAGGTCCTCCTGACTGTTGGGTCAGTGCTCTATCCACTGAACCACCTAGCTGCCCCTGTTTTTTTATTTCTTGATCTCTGATAACTTTACTGGCTTCCCCTTGCCCAATTCTGATTTTCAAGGAGTCATTTTCTTCCTTAAGATTCTGGATCCCCTTTTCTAATTGGTTGACTTTCTTTTCATAATCATCTTATTTTTCTTGAATTATTCTTATTTTTCTTTTTAGTTTTTCCTCAGTCTCTCTCATTTGATTTTTAAAGCCTTTTTTAAGTTCTTCAATGAATTCTTTTTGGGCAGGTGACCATTTGACATTACTTTTTGGGGTAGAAGAGGATTTCTTTGCTTCAGTATCATCCTCTGAAGATGAACCCTAGTTTTCTCTATTCTCATAATAGCTCTCTATGGTGGGATTCTTTCTCCTTTGCCTGTGCATTTTTTTTTTGTAATAGTTTAGTTTTTATAATTGCCTCTGGTCCTGGAGTATGGGGGATAGTGCCTCTGGCCTCAGATCCCCTTCAGTTCTTCCCTTTGACCTTAAACTCAAACCAAGACCATCAGCCTCCTGTAAGTGCCCACAGCCAGCAGCGTCAGGGCCCCACTAGATCTTCCCCTGCTCAACAGCTCTCCTCATTATCCTGGGGTAAAAGTTCCTGTGGCTGGGGTTGAAGTAGCCTCCCAATCCAATTAACTCCTGGGCTTTGGGTTTGTTGTTTAAGTGGTCCCTAGCCTGGAGGTGTTTATTCTTGGCTGGAAGTAAATTTCATCCTGGGATTTTTCTTCCAATCTCCTATTGTCCCAGGAGGACCCTTGTTCTTCCCCTACTCTCATTTATTTTCACCCCCCTAGGGTGCTATTTTATCTCTTTTGTGGAGGAAAATCTTTTGAGAGTTTGATATTTTCTGATCTATTCTGCCATCTTCTCAGAATCCTCCCTTTACAATTATTAATGAAATTTTATTTATAAAATTCTTAATACAATTTTGAGGACTATATATTCCATTAGAAAGAGTGGGAAACCAATCATATATACATACATGCATATGCATATACATATATAGGGTGTATACATGTACACACACACATATCTTAGTTCTTAGAGAAAACAGTCTTATCCTGTTGCTTTCTCAAATTTTACTACTCTATTTAATCAGAAAACTTTTACATATTTTTCTTATTATATCCATATCACTCTGAAAGAATGAGATACTTCAAAGACTTGTTGTTTTTTGTCCTTCATGTTCAAAGAGGACCAAAATGATATCATGATGTTGAAGTCAGTGTTAGAAAAATCTGAAACTAAAAAAAATCTACTACAGTGAGTGGGTGAAGGAAAGTCTTTATTATGCTTCTCGTGAGAGAAGTGGGCACAACACACTTTAGTAGCACATGGGCACTGGTTCAGTGGTAGAATTGACTTTTAAACCATTAGTAAGATGCATACTCTACCCATCAGGGCTATGATTGGTCTAGTTCATCTGAGTTACACCCTTCCTGGACAGCCCATCGCATGTTCGTCCATGTTCTTTTAACTCCGCCCACTTCATGGGTCCCATGCTCAAAAATGGCGCCTATCTCCACCCTTGGGGTGTGTCATTTCATAT